CCAGGGAATGGCGTATGGCATCACGGTCCTGGGTCTGGCATGGGATGTAGGCTGACCAGAACTAGTGCAGTGGGTTCAGAATGAGCCCAGGATGGCCTCCATTGCCCTAGGCCTGCCTCAGTCCCCACAGCACCCATTTGGGTTTGTGACCCCAAGTGAGGCACCACATGACCCCATGGTACTTTGATGACTAACTAATAAGCTTTCTGCCAATGACTAAACTGGACTCATGACACATCATGGACTAATTCCCATGTATGTAAATGTCCCAGGCCAATCTACCTATCCTTATGGTTCCAGCAATCCCCACGCTCACCAGGGATTTTCTGGTCATTTCCAACCTATCTCCAAAGAATCTGGGCACCCATGCAGCTTATCTGTCTTGGCCTCTACATTCTCTAACATTCACCTTATGGCTCACTGCATGCCTATGTACCTAGTCACCCAAAACCTGCCCCCACCCCCAAGTTTCTCTAATCCCAACATTCTCCAGCATCCATGCTGGTACTGTGTGTGTGTCCATATAGTACCTGAGCACCCACAAAGCCTTCTCTAAGCCTGTCCAGGCTGGTCTGGCCACGGCTGAAATTGCGCAGATTCACATCTTGCAGCCTGTTCTGGAAAAGCTGTCTCAGGAGCAGAGGTAGGTCATTGTGGCTGGTAGGGTCAAAAGGAGATCAGAATGGGGCTGGGGTTGTGGCTCAGTGGTAGAGTGCTCGCCAAGAATGTGGGAGGCCCTGGGTTCCATCCTCAGCACCACATAAAAATAAATGAATAAGGGTAATGTGTCCAACTACAACTAAAATAAAATATTAATTAATTAATTTAAAAAAAAAAGGAGATCAGAATGGGGACATGGCCTCCTGGTCAAGCAGGACATAGCAACATGCTTGTGCCTACCCTCCCTCACCACCCCCAAGCTCCATCACACATACAATATGGAGACCCCTGAGGTCTGACTGGAGAGAGTGATGGGGTAATAGGGTAGAGGACACCCACCCCAATGGAGAAAGGCTGAGAGACCCTCCAGGGGTGGTGTGAGAGGGACTGCTCCCTAGCCCTGCATGCTCAGAACCTACCCTGCCCAGGGGTGTGCTCAGCCCCTAGTCTTTCCCAGGAAGTCACCTACATACCCATCCACAAGCCGGAAGTCACTCATCAGGGTCCTAGCGCGCTCTCGTAGGCCCGGGACACTGGGGGTGCCCGGTGTGGGTGGAGAGACAGGGGTGCCTGGAGGGGTTGGGGCACTAGGAGTGCCCGAGGCGGTTGAGGCTTTGGGGGTGCCCAGTGTGGTCTGGGAGTGGGTTAATGGCTGCGGAGGCAGCAGAAGCAGAAAGAGCAGGAACGGCAGACATCGCAGAGTCCGCGGGTGGGGCGCCCAGGGACCTTCCAGGCCAAGGGGGAACATGATCCGTGGAATGGTGTGGGGGGTGGGAGGCGTGATGAACGAGATGCCTGGGAGGGGCGAGTGAAGGGCAGGAGGCAAAGACGGAGTACTGACCGACCGACCGTAGATTCAGGTGGATGCAGCCTCTTTGGAGGTCGCTACTCTGGCACCCACGTGCTGGGATCCTTTGTGCTGCGAAGCGGAGTCCCCAGGGGGCACCGCAGCGCTCTCTCCCCAACTAGGAGCGCGCCCCCCTGGGCCTGGAGGGCTTCCTCTAGGGATACGGGAACTGGGCAAGGACCCAGGAATCGGCCTAATTTCAACTCTAGCCAGAGCCACGTCGGGGTTCAGCTGCCAGGTTGTGCCTTGTCCTTGAGGGTCAAACATTCTATGAAATTCTATGCTGCTGCTCAGAAAAGTGAACTGGATCTGTATGGTGTTTGTTTTGCAGTACTAGGGGACTGAACCCAGGGCCTCACGATGCTGGTCTTCATCACTGAGTTACATACATCCCTGGTCCTGGATCTGTATGTTTTCATTTACAGTCTCTACAGACTGTAAAAATAAAAATGAAGCTGGGTGCGGTGGCAGGCGCCTGTAATCCCAGAGGCTCGGGAGGCTGAGGTAGGAGGATAAGGAGTTCAAAGCCAGCCTCAGCAACATGTTGAGCCCCTGCCTCTAAATAAAATATATAGAAAGGGATTGGGGATGGGGTTCAGTGATTAAGCAGCCCTGGGCTCAATTCTGGTAATAAATAAATAAATAAACAAACAAACAAACAAACAAATGATTTTTTATGGGATACCATGTTATTGTAGCCTTTAGAGTTGAATTTTGTTTCTGTACAAAACATTCTTCTGTGTAAACTCAGGGGTGGGCTACCAGTGAGCTACATCCCCAGCCCTTTTTAATTTTGTTTTCAATAGGATCTTGCTAAATTACCATGCACTGGCCTGGAACTTGAAGTCCTCCTGCTTTAGCCTCCTAGTAGCTGGAATTATGGACACGCATCATGTACCAGTGTATTTTCCGTTTTTTTCTTGGCATTGTGGATTTTATTTAGAGACAGGGTCTCACTGAGTTGCTTAGCTCCTTGTCATTGCTGAGGCTGGCTTTGAACTTGTGATTCTCTTGTCTCAGTCTCTGGAGTGCTGGGATTACAGGTGTGTGCCACTACACCTGGCTTCCTTCATTTTTTGAAGAATATTTTTACATAGAATTGAACATTAATAATTTCTTTCATTCTCTGTGTTAAAGATAGTTTACTTTGTGTGGGCTTCCATTATTTCTATTGCAAATTCATCTATCAAAGTTTTGTTTGTTTTTTTGCAGTATTGGGGATTGAACCCATGCATGCTAGGCAAGTGCTCCATCACTGAGCTATATTCCCAGGCACTTTTATTTTTCCTTCTCAAGTTAATGTGATTTTTTTAAAATACTTTTTTCTTTTTGTGGTACTGGGGATTGAACCCAGGAGCCCCCTATCACTGAGGTATATCCTCAGCCCTTTTTTATTTTTTATTTTGAGACAGTGTCTCACTAAATTGCTGAGACTGATCTCAAACTTGGATCCTCTTGCCTCAGCCTCCAGCATCTTCAGCATCACTGGGATTACAGGCGTGCCCTGCCATGCCCAACAAAACAACTACTTTTTTTTTTTTTTGGTACTGGGGATTGAATCCAGGGGTGCTTATCCACTGAGGCACATCCTCAACCTTTTTACATTTTATTTAGAGACAGGGTCTAACTGAGTTGCTTAGTGTCTCGCTGTTGCTAAGGCTGGCTTTGAACTTACAATCCTCCTGTCAGCCTCCCAAACTGCTGGGATTATAGGCGTCTGCGTCCACGCCCAACCCTAGTAGAATACACTTTGACACATCATACATAAATGGAGTATAATTTCTCATTCTTCTGATTGAATATGATGTAGAATTACACCAATTGTGTAATCATACATGCACATAGGATAATAATGTCTGATTCATTCAGCTATTCTTCTTACTCCCATAATGGCTCCCTTCCCTCCACTCCCCTCTGTCTAATCTAAAATACCTCTATTCTTCCCTATCCCCTCCTTATTGTGAATTAGCATCCGCATATCAGAGAAAACATCCAGCCTTTGGTTCTTTGGGATCGACTTATTTTTCTTAGCATGATGTTCTCCAGCACTATCCATTTACCAGCAAATGCAATAATTTCATTTTTCTTTAAGGCTAAGTAATATTACACTGTGTACATACGCCACATTTTCTATATCCATTCATCTGTTGAAGGGCACCTAGGTTGGTTCCATAGTTTAGCTATTGTGAATTGGGCTGCTCTAAACATTGATGTGGCTGCATCACTGTGGTATGCTGATTTTAAGTCCTTTGGGTATAGACTGAGGAATGGAATAACTGAGTCAAATGGTGATTCCATTCCAAGTTTTCTGAGGAATCTCCATATTGCTTTCCTTAGTGGTTACACTAGTTTGCAGTATATGAGTATACCCTTTTCCCTACTTCCTTGCCACCATTTATTGTTGCTTGTATTCTTTTTTTAAATACTTTTTTTAGTTGTTGATGAACCTTTACTTTTATTTACTTTATGTGGTGTTGAAAATCAAACCCAGTCCCTCACACATACTAGGCAAGAACTCTACCACTAAGCTACAACCCAGCCCTATAGTTTGTATTCTTTTTTATTTTTAGTTGTAGTTGGACACAATACCTTTATTTTATTTATTTTTATGTGGTGCTGAGGATCGAACCTAGGGCCTCGCACATTCGGGGCGAGTGCTCTACCGCTGAGCCACAACCCTAGCCCCTAGTTTGTATTCTTAATAATTGTCATTCTGACTGGAGTGAGAGGAAATCTCAGTGTAGTTTTGATTTGCATTTCTCTAATTGCTAGACATGTTGAACATTTTTCATATATTTGATCAATTGTATGTCTAATTCTGTGAAGTGTCTGTTCAGGTCCTCACAGTTTCATTCTGAAATGCAGTTTGAATGAATGCTGCTACTAAAAATATAAATTCATATGCCTTTTGGGGAAATGTATCCATTCTTTCCTGCTGAATATATATCTGGAGCAAAATTGCTCAGTCATGAGGTCTACATAGGCTACTAGCAATGGTAACTATTTTTATTACTCTCTATTATCGTCATACATTATTCACTATTAGTTGTTAGTATTAGCTCTTATTATTACAGTTGCTATTATCATTAAGGGCCTGGGGGGTAATCAGGGGGTAGATGCTAATGCGTTTTGGAAAGGAAGTCTGTGAGGACTGGGAGCTCTGTACAAAGAGGAACAAATATCATTCATGATCCAGGCCGGTTCCCTTCTTGAGAATCTGAAGCAGAATTTCCTAAGAGATCCTCTAGGGGTGGTCAGTGGATTCACATGTCGATAGAGATGAGCTACTCAGAGGAAACCTGGAATAGGGTCCACCCTCCTGAGCAAGATCTGCCCACTATCTAGTACTGAGCTCAACCCCCTCAGTCAGCTCAGGCTACTACCAACAGGCATTCCTTGAGCAACTGGTGACTGAAAGGCAGGGTCCCCTAATGATCATCAGCCCAGGGAGCCTATGCCACTAGACTCTACCACAGAGGACATTCACATGCGATTCCATGTCCAAAATATTTATTTCCAGGAAATGTTTGTGTCTTCCCAAAGTGGGGGTGCTCTGGGGTATCCAAGCTGCCAGAGTAAAATCTGGCAGGACTGACTGGGTCACTAGAGCCATAGAATGAGGACTGGGAAGACGGCAACAACTGTGAGACCTGGGACCTTGAAGGAGGAAGATTTTGAGAGTGACCACTTTCGTGATAATCTGGGTGTTTGACGTGTGGGGATCTTGGTTGGTTTCTGGTCTGGAGCCAGATATTGTTTCTGACGCAGTCTTGAGAGGATGGATCGGCATGGGCTGCCCACCTGCTCATCTGGGATACTGTCCTCCAGGGGGCTTTGCCACTTGCTTTCCTCCCGTACCTAGATATGGAAGTTGGTGGTTAGCAACTCCCCCAGACCCCCCTAATACATTTTCAGAACCCTGGACCACTCCTTACCCAGCTCAGCATACCTGTTCTACTTCTCCAAAGACCCGTAGCAGATTTCCTCGAAGGACACCTTGAAGCTCTTCGTCACTCCAGCCCCGATTCAGCAACTCCTCTATCAGCAGTGGATATGTGGACACATCCTCCAGCCCCTGAGGGAATCTGTGTGGCCACCAGCAGAAAGGCCTCAGAATCCTAGCCCTATGTGTCCTAGGTCACTGCACCCCAGCTCTGATTAGATATGGGCAGTGAGGAGTTGGCAACAGAGATTTGCCCCACTCTTCATCCCTTAGAGGAACATTTGAGTATTTGCCAAATCCCACTGAACTGTATGATTAAGATTTGTATGATTGGGGCTGGGGTTGTAGCTCAATGGTAAAGTGCTTGCCTAGCATGTGTGAGGCACTGGGTTCTAGCCTCAGCACCACATAAAAATAAATAAATAAAATAAAAGTATTATGTCCATCTACAACTAAAAAATAAATAAATAAAAATTAAAAAAAAAAAGATGTGCATGTGTCCCTTCCATTTAAAAAGAAGAAAAACTTCCCAGAACCAGAACTGGGCAGAGAAGATGGCCAGCCCATGCGAGACCTTGCTGATAGTCCACTCAGAGGGAGTGGATTTGTAGAGGTGGGGGTGGGTGCATGTGCTGAGTAGATGAGCTACCTGGGAGTTTAGCCAAATATGACACTTTAGAATAGGGTCAATGGGCTGAAAACAGTCAGTGGGGTCCAGGAAGCAGAGCCTGGGAATGAAGAGTGGGTAGATGTGAGGTGGGCAAGGCCTAGAGGCCATGAGGAACATGATATGGTAGGCATAGTGACTGTAAAGGTCCCACAGAAAAGCCACTGGAAAGTACTCACTGGCTGGCACCATCATAGTCTCCACCAATCCCAATGAACTTGGATCCAATGACTGCCTTGATGTGGTCAAAGTGATCTGGGGAGATAGAGAGTCTGCAGTGTGAAGCTTCCAGGGCAGGGGTGCCCATAGAGCTAGACTCTGCTAATCCTCTTCTTGTAGTCTTTAACTTGTAGCATACAGGTTCCTGAAGGCCCTGAGATTTTATCAACTGATCCCAGCTGGCTCTAGATTGGACTTCAGGTTTTGAGTGAAGCCATTTAGGCCATTTCTCATTTAGATTCACCCTGCCTCTAGTCTCCTTGAGAACCTATTAGGTGCACCTTTCCAGGGGTATGGAGTATAAGAAAGGGACAAAGAGAACACTTGACAAAGATCCCGAAGACCTAAGCAGAGGCAGAGGCAGGAACAGGGTGTTTTGGTATCCCTCAGATGTGCAGATGGTGGGCACCTAGGTCTATGTCTGACCACCTCCCTTTTATCCATCAGCATATCAGCATGGACTCTGGCTGTGGTTCTTCAAAGCACCAAGGTAGACATTGGGGAATTTTAGCCAAACCACTGGGGCCATGCCAAGGTACCCTCAGAGCCTCAGGTCCAAATCAGAGCTGTTTAGAGAACCTGGAGAGTACAAGGTGTGATGTCACATGCCTGTAATCCCAGCAACTCTGCACGCTGAAGCAGAGGCATGCAAGTTTAAGGTCAGCCTTAGCAATTTAGTGAGATCCTGTCTCAAAAACAAAAAAGGACTGGGATGTAACTCAATGATAAACTACACTGGGGTTCTATCCCCAGCACCCACAAAAAAGAGAGAGCCTAGAAGTGTTGGGGGCAAACTCACCTGCTACAGTGGACACGTTGGCTAACAGGTTGCACTGTAGCACGCCTATAGAAAAGGTCACCATCACAATGCCACCATTCTTCTTCTGCAAGGATGGTCAGATGGACACTCAGCTTGATCCCTGGCACAAGAGCATGCCTGCCCACCCTCTAGCCCCTATGAGGAGGATGTCCAGCTCTGGCTTCAGAAACCAGAGGAGACTTCACCTCTCTGGTTTTTGTGAATAGGAGAATCTTAGCCATGGTTTGGGTGGGCATGTCTTGGCTCTGAGGTTAAGGGGTCAAGGAATATTTATGATCTAAAAGTCCCCCACCCTGTTCAAGAGTTCAAGGGCTATGGACTATGGGTCTGTGGTTCAGCCCAGGGTCTGAGGAATCTGAGGGATCAAGGGCTCCTGGTTCAAACCTCTTGTTTTAGATTCCAGGGCCGGCCGGGGTAGTTTCTCACCAGAAGCTGCAGAATATCATCAGGAACATTCCGATCACTCTTGCACACATTCCTGGCAGCAGAGTGGGAGAATATAACAGGTGCCCGTGACAATTCCAGAACCTTCCGGGCCACAGCGTCAGAGACATGAGACAAGTCTACCATCATGCCCAAGCGATTCATTTCTGCTATCACCTTCTGCAGGTACAGGTAGGAAGGCAAGTGTCAAGGGTGCATGCATGCCTGCATTTGTCTGTAGGGAAAGATGGGGCATGTACATTTGTGTGGGGTGGAGTATGAACTGGGGTCCTTACCTCACCAAAGCTGGTTAGACCACTGACATTGCTGTAGAAGAAGTGGATATCCTTAGACGAGCTCTCTGCCCTGCAGGATTACCAAGAGATAGTCTGACTGGTGGCCATGTTTCAGTCACAAGAACCTAGAGCCTCTACTAAACTCTGTACCTTGCAACTCCCTGAAGAAAAACCAAGGACCCAGGATGGGTTGTATCTGGCAGAGGGAGAGCCCTGCTGGGGTCTAGTCTTGCTCTGTGAACCCCACGATACCAGTTTCCCTCCCCATTCCAGGGTCAATGCCAGCTCCTAGGGGTAAAGTTTGCTCTGGGCTCTTGGTGTGACCTGGGGAAGACAGTCCTCTACCGTCTGTACTGTGCTTACCAGGGTGTGTTGCAGGTGTGGGTGAGCGTCAGGTAGCGTACTCCCAGCACATAGAAAGTACGCAAGATGGAGAGGCTGTTGTCCAGTGAGTGTCCACCCTCCACACCAATGAGGCAGGCCAATTTCTTGGTGCTGTTCAGAGCTGGGGGGAGAGAGATCAGGTGATTACTTTTAGGAGTTAAAGTAGCTCAATCAAATCCCTAACATCACCTATTACTTCACCTACCTTTCACAGAGGTCACAAGCTCCAACTCAGAATAGGAAGCACACATGCGATGAATGAGGTCAATCTGCTCCAGTGTGAGACGCACAGCATCCTGGTCTTGGGTCTGGCATGGAACATAGGCTGACCAGAACTGCGGGGAGGGTCAGGGGTTGGTTTGGGCAAGGGCTACTTTGGAGCTCCTTGGGCCTCCATGGCTAACACAACACTTGGTGGGCCCAGAGGCCAAGAATGCACTGTTCCTTCTGTCCTTCTGTGGTACCTTCATACCAATCAAACTGGCTCACCGTAGCCCCTGCAGACCCTGATTCCACATCTTAACACTTTTTTTTTTTCTGGTATTGAAGATTAAACCCAGGGGATCTTTAGCATTGAGCTACATTCTCAGTCCTTTTTACTTTTTATTTTGAGACCAGGTCTCTCTAAGTTGCTTATGCTGACCTTGAACTTGTGATCCTCTTGCCTCAGCCTCCTCAGTAGCTGGGATGACAGATATACAACCCTCCACCCAACATGCATCATGGCACTTCTTGAGCTGCTATAGTAACTGAGTACCCACATGACAAACTTGGGATCTCTGGAGCTGCCTCTCCTCCCCAAAGTCCCAAAAGCCATGCTGTGGTAGCCTGAGTGTCCCTGTGATACCTGAGCACCCACGAGGCCATCTCTAAGCCTGTCCAGGCTGGTCTGGCCATCACTGAAATTGTGCAGGTTGACATCCTTTAGTCCATTCTTGTGAAACTGCCTCAGGATCAGGGGCAGATCGTTGTGGCTGGAGGGACATCAAGGCAAGGTCAGGTCAGGGACAGATGGGTGGGCCCTTTAGGCTTCCAGGCAAGGCAGGGATCTGGAGGAGGGGGTGTCCTTCACCCTACCAGACTATATTGAGGTCTCTTGAGGCCTGGGATGGGGGTTTCTCACCAGAGGGGGAATGGTAGAGGAGAGCAGGGCACCCAGAAAAGTTGGAGAGTGGGCATCCACATTAGGTGTGAGGGGGCCTCCTCGCTAACCTTGCATGCTCGGAACCTTTCCTGGCCTAGGGGTGCGCTCTGCCCCACTCGCCCCCATGCGGCACTTTCTTACCCGTCCACCAGCGGGAAGTCCCGCATTAGGGCCAGCGCGCGCTCTCGCAGGCCTGGGGTGCTGGGGGTGACTGGCGTGGTCCCAGAGTTGGGGGCGTCTAGAGTGGTCGGGGTGTCGGTGGTACCGGGAGTGATCTCAGTGCTGGTTACAGGGTTTGGTGGCAGCAGCAGCAGCAGCAGGGGCAGAAAAAACGAACGCAGCAGAGGCCACGGGCAGAGCACGTGGGGACCCTCGAGGCCCTCAGGCTGCATGTTGCGCAAAGCAGAGGTGACCATCTCAAGAGCCTGAGAGAGGGAAAAGGCGACGATTGGGTCTCGACTCTTGATTCAGGCCAACCAGCGTCGTGGCCCCGCGAGGAGTGGAATTTGAGTCAAGAGACTCCGAGATGGCGACACGGAATATCACCAAGTGGCAGCACAACCGCCAGGGGCCTCCACTGCCTTCCCGCCCTGCCACCTCCCTCCCCTCACCCCCACCCCCGGCAAAGGGCGCCCCCGCGGGCTAGGAGGACCTGTTCACCTATTTGCCTCCCATCGCAGTCTTCCTAAGTCCCTCACTGCTACCTGACACTGCACTCCTCCCAAGGGTTGACCCAGAAGGTTTGACAGCACCCCTATTGCCTCTAGGCTTACTCTCTAAGCAGAGACTGGGGTAGTTCTCCCAGAGAGCGTCCCCATAGAGATCTTTAGTGTCCACAGCGCATCAGCTACTGCCTGCACCCTTCCTAGGACACCTGGAATGCTGGATGTGTCTCTGTGACCACGGTACTTTGGGCTCTGGATTTCCAGTGCTGGGTCAGGTAGGTGGTGTGTAGGGAAGGAGATAAGTAGTTTCTGGATCTCTCTTCCCTACCAATCATAACCCCAGGTCCATCCCCTGGGGACTGTAGCCAGCAACTGAGAACTATCAGGAACATCCCTCCTTATTATCCTCATGCAGCTTCAGGAAAGGGCTTCCTCCTAAGGAGATTTTTGTACCTGCCCAGGACTCATAGGGAGGTACATTTGGGATGAGGACTAAGCAAGCATCTAGGGTGGGCCTGAGACTCAGCTATTTGGATGGAAGGAAATGAAGTAATTTCCAAGGCAGCAGAGCTCCCACTCCAGCACCTTCCTTCAAGAGCTGCTGGCTGACCTGCTGGCCAGGATCCCTCCTACCTGAATGAGGCAGTCAGGTTGTGACACGAGTAAGAGACTGCGGCGAGGTCCCTCGATCGCTCCTGGGTGGTCCTGAAGTCAAGATCGGCCCTGCCCCAGGTAACCTCTCCCGGCCGACGATCCGTGTCTTGAAGAAAGCATTCGATGCCTTTTCGAATGCTCAGTTTATTCACGCCAGGGTCACCACATCACACGAGGCACAGGAACAGAGGCTGGCGGGACTCAGTTCGCTCGGTGTTGACCCACCAACATAGCGGGTCTGAACTGGCCAAAGAGCTCAGCCTTCCTGGCCTTTAAATACTATAGTTGTTTACAACACTTCAAACCAAAAACATGTTTATTTCATAATTTCTATTTCTTATCCTATCTTAACAGATTGTCTCTATTGCATCACATCTTGCTTACATCTTGCTTATCTTAAACTATCACACTTGTTTTGTGCTAAAATACCTCAAAACATGTTTACCTTATATCCTTATCTATTTCACACATTTTTCTAGCTTAGGCACCTTTCTTCATCCAAACATGTTTACTTCAAACTCTCCTGTCCTTTGTTGATTCCAAACTCTCCTGTAACTCTCCTGTCAGCTTGAAAGATGAGTCCTAAGGGAAAGCCTGGCACATGTGATCTGTGTCTACCCCAGTTTTATTTTGAGGTTTTAATGGTTCTGCTTAGTTCTCTTCGTTTCCTGGAGAGCCCCACCCTATTTCTACCCTGGTTCCTCACCCAGGCTGCTTCCTCCAGGAAGCTTCCAGCTATATACATGTGCACAGACACACGTGTCAAAGCGGTGTGCATTCTTGTTGAAATCCCATCACTTGAGAGCTTGGTCCAAACTCCATACCCAAAGACCTTCTCCTGTTCCTTGTCCTCAGACTCTCAAGATTCTGCTCTAAATACTGACAGTCTCTGGAGTTGCTCCATTTTTTGAAACATTCTCAGGTTATCAGTTCATGAGGACTGATGCAAGAAGGCCCTCTAAAAAGGAAACGAGTAAACTTCTCCTAAGGGGTGGAGGTTCCAAGCTACCAGGAGGAAGTGTTTCCAAGGTGGAGGTGTTTTAGGTACTATGCACTTGATGTTTCCCAGTGCCTCCTGTCTAGGAGGAATGCCAATCAGTTGTGCAGGGCCTGACTCCAGAGCTGACCCTAAGTGTTAATCTCTGTTGCCTCCTCACTATCTCCCCTTTAACCAATCATAGCATTTCCTAATCCTGCTGGCTCAGGGGCATGGTGGTGCATGCCTGTAGTCCTAGCTACTGAGGAGGTTAAGGCAGGAGAATGGTAAATTCAAGGTCAGCCTCTGCAACTTAGCAATATTTCATCTTAAATTAAAAATATAAAGGGCTTGGGTGTAGCTCAGTGGTAGAGTACCCCTGGGTTCAATCCCCATGCTCAAACACATCCTACTGCCTCAACATTGAAATATCTCCCAAGTGCCCCTTCTCTGTACCTTCTCCTTTTCCCCCAGTTGAGGCCATCTTTATTGCTCTTTTCCTCGTGGTCTCCTTGCCTCAATTCCATTTCCCACAGAAAAACCATACCATTTCTTTCTTTCTTTTCTCGTTCTCCTTCTCCTTCTTCTTCTCATTTTTCTTCTTCTTCATATCAGGGATTAAAACCAGGGGTGCTTTACCACTGAGCCACATATCCAAAGCCCATATACATACATATTTATATTATATATTTTCTTTCTTTCTTTCCTTCTTGCCTTCTTTCTTTCTTTTCTTTTTCTCTTTCTTTGTTTCTTTGTTTCTTTCTTTCTTTCTTTCTTTTTTCTTTAGAGACAGAATCTCACTAGGTTGGTGAGACTGGCTTTGAACTTACAATCCTCCTCTCTCAACCTCCCAAGCTGCTGGATTATAGGTATGTGCTACTGCACCTTACTACCTATCCCTCTTTTAAAAATCTAATTTAAGCGATGGGAGTAGAGCTCAGTAGTAGAGCACATGCTTAACCCCTGAGTTGCATCCCAGCACCAATAACAAACAAGCAAGCAAATAAAAAAGGGTCATCCTCCTGCCTAAAATTCTTTTTTGTTTTAATATTTATATTTTAGTTCTCGGCGGACACAACATCTTCATTGGTATGTGGTGCTGAGGATTGAACCTGGGCCGCACGCATGCCAGGCGAGCGCGCTACCGCTTGAGCCACATCCCCAGCACCGTGCCTAAAATTCTTTTGCAGATTCCCATTGCTCTTAGACTATACCAAAATATTTCCTTTGGCTTTCAAGTCCTGAGGAATCACTTCCCTCCAGCCTCTCCAAATTCAGCAAACAGCACAAACCCTTTGCATTCTAAACTCTGTCTGTGTCAGTTATACTGCCTTCCACCAAAGGGCCTTGGAACATGCCATACTCTCAGCTTCCAACTGCTGGGGCTATTGAGGCAGGCCCAGGATAGAAAATTTTGCCACTATGAAGGGATAAGTGAGCAACTTCTCCAATTGCTCACCTATGCTATATTGAAACAAGAGAAAGGCAGACAAGTCAGTGGTAGAAAGAGGTTTCTTCTTCAACTTCTTGTTGTAGCAGATCTAACCACTATGCTGATTTCCAGTATATTGCAAGAATATGATGGAAAGTTCGGATGTGATGGCAGCACACCTGTAATCCCACTGAATAGGGGCAGAAAGGGAGTCTCAGGCAGGAGCATTGCAGGTTCTAGGTCAGCCTTGACAACTTAGTGAGACCCTAATCAATTTAGCAAGACCAAGTCTCAAAAATAACAAATAAAAAGGATTGGGGGGGTACTGAGGTTGTGGCTCAGTGGTAGAGTGCTCGCCTAGCATGTGCAAGGCCCTGGGTTCAATTCTCAACACCACATAAAAATAATTAAATAAGCAAAATAAAGGTATTGTGTCTAAACAAAAAATAATTTTTTTTTTAAAAAAAAAGGGGTTGTAGATATGGCTCAGTGGGACAGTACCCCTGGGTTAAATCCCTGGTACTAACAAATAAATAAATAAATACATGAAAATAGCATTTCTCTCTTTCTCTGTTTCCTGAGCACATACTCTTCTGCCTTTGCTTCTACCATGAAGTTCTGCTTCCCACAGGACCAATGTGATAGGGCCAAGTGACTATGAAATGAAATCTCTGAAACCATGAACCAAAATAAATATTTTCTTGTTTTTAAATAATTTTCTCCAGTATATTGTCACAGCAACAAAGAGCTAACTAACACAACTCCATAGGGTCACGCTGAACTCAATACCTATTGAATATATTCTGTTCCTGTCGGTAGTATTAACCTCAAGAACTGGGTATAAAGCCAAGCGTGGTGAAGCATGCCTGTAATCCCAGTGGCTTAGGAGGCTGAGGCAGGAGGATCAAAGCCAGCCTCAGCAAATGCAAGGTGCTAAGCAACTCAGTGAGACCCTATATCTAAATAAAATACAAAATAGGGCTGGGGATGTGACTCAGTGGTTGAGTGCTCCAGGGCTCAGTCACCAGTTTGAAAAAAAAAAAAAAGAAAAGCAAAGAAAGAAGAAAAGAAAGGAAGAAAGTAAAAGAAAAAAAAAAGGAATATTCTGAGAAGTTAAACTCAGGCTGAGTTATAGGTTTACAGGCCACTTAACACGCTCAGGTGCAGGGGTGGGTGGAAATGGGGGCTTACTTGCTTTCCAGTGTTCCCCAGATGATGGTCATCAACATCTGAGGACCCCCATGTCTTGGTCCTGGAGTCGCCTGCTGCCCCTGCCTCTTCCTTGGTATTCCTCTTGATCTGCTCCCATAATAACTGACAGTGAAATTTCCAAGAAACAACAGTCTTCCAAACTGAAGACAGCTTGGCCATTGGGGACACACATCCTCCAATCACAAAGCTGGGGCCACCCTTCCTGTAGTGATAGCACATCTTTCTTCCTCAAAAAGGCATTCAGTGTTTATCTTGCTAGGAGAAGTGCAAAACCCACAAACCTATCTTCATTTCCTGCTTTCACCCAACCTTCTCTCTAACCTTCTCCCCAACCCCCATCTTTCTATCCTGTACCCTCACTAGCCTCTCTGTCCAACAGTTCAAGTCCCTTATGTACCACATAGCTCCTGCTACAGATGGGCACCACCTGTTTCAGCCAATATTGAGGATGCATACAAGGTCCCCAGGGCAAAAGCACATGTGGTGCCTAATAGGCTTGAAGTGTCTGAATGGGCTGCTTCTGGAGACCAGATGAGTGTAGCACACAGACTTGGAGCCTATGTCCTAAGATTGGTCTACATGCTATTCACCATCAGCAGGCAGTGTGTGTTCCATGGTGCAGGAGCTGCTTCCAGCAAGATTCTGGGAGGTGTCCTGGGATTCAGATGCCACCCCCCCTCCCGTGAACTGTATATGTCCTGGGATTCAGATGGCCCCCTGAACTGTATATCCGTTTCCTGGATGGAGACAGATCTTGCAGAGGTTCACCAAATCCAAACACTCTCTAGTGACCTGCCTTCTCTAGAAACAGGGATATGGGGAATCCTCTCCACACCCTGCTTAAAATTTTTTTTTGCTGGAAACTCTCCATTCTCCTCATGGTTGCTTTCCTTCTCTCCTCCTCCTCTTCCTCCTCACAGCAGTCTGCACTTGCCTGCTGCTGATCTGGCAGATGAACTGAGCACTTTCTGACCACCACAACTCTGTGCTGGCTCCTCTCCCTGTACCACCAGTCCCCAGCAAGGGTGCCAAAGAATTTGTTGCACTTGGCCCTTGGGAGGCTGCTGCATCCTCTTCATTCATGGAGCAAGGGCACATGATAATGGTGATGATGAGAGCAGCTGATGTGACTGTGTGCCCAAGCTGTGTTACCAGTTTGATATTTTACTCACAACAACCTACAGGGTAGTTTCTCTTTCCTTCTCCTCCTCCTCCTCCTCCTCCTCCTCCTCC